CTCCTCTTCTCTTCTCTTGCCTTTCACGTCATCCCTGGCGGGCTGCGATCTGCGGAACTGTCACCACTTTCGAGGGCTGCTGGTGGGTCCAGCGGAGTGAGGCACCACGGGGACTCAGATTAGACCTCGCCATCCCTGGGGGGGGGGGGCTGCGATCTGTGAAACTGTCGCCACTTTCGAGGGCTGCTGGTGGGTCCAGCGGAGTGAGGCACCACGGGGACTCAGATTAGACCTCGCCATCTCTGGGGGGGGGCTGCGATCTGTGAAACTGTCACCACTTTCGAGGGCTGCTGGTGGGTCCAGCGGAGTGAGGCACCACGGGGACTCAGATTAGACCTCGCCATCTCTGGGGGGCTGCGATCTGTGAAACTGTCGCCACTTTCGAGGGCTGCTGGTGGGTCCAGCGGAGTGAGGCACCACGGGGACTCAGATTAGACCTCGCCATCTCTGGGGGGCTGCGATCTGTGAAACTGTCGCCACTTTCGAGGGTTGCTGGTGGGTCCAGCGGAGTGAGGCACCACGGGGACTCAGATTAGACCTCGCCATCCCTGTGTGAAACTGTCGCCACTTTCGAGGCTGCTGGTGGGTCCAGCGGAGTGAGGCACCACGGGGACTCAGATTAGACCTCGCCACCCCTGGGCGGCTGCGATCTGTGAAACTGTCGCCACTTTCGAGGGCTGCTGGTGGGTGGCCAGCGGAGTGAGGCACCACGGGGACTCAGATTCTGACCACGAGCAATGCTCGCGTGCCCTTGCTCTGCGGTTCGTGCCACGTGGCGCTGCGACTCGAGCTGGCGGTCGTCCTTCGGACCCGCAGAAACATCTGCTGAGCTCGATGAGCTAGGGGAACTACAGGAAAGAAGTGCAGGAAACGGAGGCCGGTCATGCACTCGCCGATACCTCGTTGCTCTGTCATCGTCTTTGCTGTTGCATGATCCTTATCTGGCCTGCCGGCGCCGCGGCTCGAGCTGGCGGTCGCCCTTCGGGCCCGCGGGAACATCTTCTGAGACAAGTGGACGCCGCCGCCTTACTTGCAGGCAGCGCATTGCATTCGCGGACAGCAGCATGGCAGACCGCAGTGAGATCCTCAGTCGCGTGGTGTTGCCAAGCCTGGTGGAGACGCGCGTGATCGACCTGAAGTCCCAATCGCGCGTGCACTGTACCTGCGTGGCGTTCAGGCACGCGCGTGATGCTGCTCGCTCCGCGTTCAACCAGTACGTCGCCAGTGCAACTTTGGACGATGGACAACCGATTGATGATGCGCGACCCCGGCCTTGAGTTTCTTTCCCGCGGGCCGCCCGCAGACCTGGCGGCGCGCCTGCGAGCGTTCAGCTCCCGCGCTGAAATGTGCGGGAAGGAGGCGGAGAAGCTAGCGGGCGAGCTACGCCTCGCTCGTTCCTTGCACTCTAAACAAGTTTTATCATGTGGAACTCTGCGACGACATGGCGCAGGCAGCGCTGCGGGTTTAGCTCGCACTTGAAAAACGCGGCAGTCTTCTGTCTCCTCCCGCCACTTTCATCGTCGTCCTATTCCCCGCCTCACCTTCTCCATGCATGCTGCTGCTTCCGCGATGGCCTTTCGCCCCCCCCGCCCTCCAGTCCATCCCTCTCCTACCCCTCGTTCCCGTGCCCGTTCTTCTTCGATCCTGGGGCCTCAAGCCTCGTTCTTTCGATCGTCGTCCTGTGAATCGTGCATCGCATGCGCATCCCATGTAGCTTGCACAGCAAATCGCCGCGTCTACACTGTCGTTGTTCCTGCTAATGTTGGCATGCTCCTCTTGCCATTTGATGCGCGTGGGTTGGGTGCGTCGCAGGGTAATTTTTTGTTTTTGCTTTTTTTCTACATTGTTGAAACTTATTTGGCACACCGAGGGTACCGCAGCGCATCCCGCATACCCTAATACGTAGCGTAACCCCTAAAAGTGCAGGATGCATAGGTGCCAAGAACTACAACAAGAGGTCAACGACGCATAGAGAATTGTCTGGTCCCACACTCTTTTCACCGATCGCCGGGGATACGCGCGCAGACTCACACGCAGTGTCTCGCCACCACCGTCTTCCCCCCACGGATAGCAGAGCAAACGCGCCTAGTCAAATCGCATTGCACCGTCAACGAGGAAACCCAACTTTCGGGGGGCGCATAGGCAATGGAACGAAATCTGGGTGGAGATAGAATTGCACCTTGCGCCGCGCCCTGACTAGAGAAAAACCTCACAGGCAACAATAGCAATTGCATAGCACTTGCGCACCACTAGGACAAGCTGACCACGCAATCTGCAAACAAACAACGCCACGCCAATAAATACATAGGTGCAAAGAAACACAGCAAGAGAGCAACGACACAGAGATAATCGTATGACCGCACGCTCTTTTCCACAGCCGCCGAGCCACATAGAAAGTCCTGGCGTGATGTCTCAAGCGACAAGCGCTCCGCGCAAGCCGTCGCGACGCGAATCCGACGTGTTTTACGGAGGATCGCGACATCGGCAGTTCCGAAATCTTGCCGCCGCGACGCGAATCCTACGTGTTTTACTAAGGATCGCGGCATCGGAAGGCCGCGCAGCCCGATTGGGCCCGCTGCAATCCCCGCGAACGCTAAGACGTAATATAAACCCTAAACCGTAAACCCTAAGACCTCAAGACGAACAAGCACACCGTATTGGCAAGCCCGCACGACATCATGACGAACGACGCAGACAGCTCTGATGGGCGCGCCGAAGCTTATCCGACGCGAGCAGCCCGATTCAAACCGCTGCAAACCCCGCGAACGCTAATACGTAGCGTAAACGTGAAATTTCTAACCCTTTAATAATTAAGCCCTAATTACAGTAAGACCAGTCGTTATGCAAACCCGCTCCATCTATTCTAAAAAATAGCATGTCCTGAGCATGCGTGCATAATCTATTGTATTTTACACTACAAAGTGCCCGGTCCTTGTTGCGAGCCCAGTCCATCTACTGCAAAAAAAGCATGTGCTGAGCATGTGTGCAGAATCTCTTGTATTTTACACTACAAAATGCCCGGCCCCCGTTGCGAGCCGGTTATGTAAACCCGCTTCATCTATTGCAACAAAAAAAACATTAGCTGAGCATGCGTGCACAATCTCTTGCATCTTACACTACAAAGTGCCCGGCCCCCGTTGCGAGCAGATATTTATTTGCAACAAATAGCCTGTGCTGCGCATGCGTGCAAAATCTCTTTCGCCCGACCTGACCCGTCCTGTCCGTTTTGCTTGGCCGACCCGTCCCGTCCGTTAGGGTACTCGCGCGCCAACACCCGACCCGATCCGTCGCGCTCGTTAGGGGCCGTCTGCCCGAACCGTTTCGCTTGTATGGGGCACACGGGTGTTGAAGTTTAACAGTTCTCTCGGGTGTGTCTCGATTGTCAGCTACCTCCCCACTTCTCTCCGCCTCATCATGTGTCCTTCTATGTTATTATTGTCAATGCTTTTCTGTGCACACATGTGCGCGTCGTACTTTACTGTTCCTTGCCTTCGGCCTATCCCACCACTATGCTATAGCATGGCATAGCAAGGCATGGATATTCCAAAAGTGGGGACCCCTATGTGCGCTGTCTTTTACTGATACTTGTCCGCACATAGGGGTTCATTTTTTGGGAACCCATGCTGTGCTATGCCATGCTATAGCACAGTGGCGGGATAGGCATAGGGCAAATAGTAGAAGGCAGCGCGCACATAGGGGCCCCCACTTGTTGAGGGCAAATGCTGTGCTATGCCATGCTATAGCACATTGGCGGGATAAGCCTAGGGCAAGTACGAATAAAAAGCAACGCGCACGTCGAGGTCCCCACACTTTGGGGACCCATGCTGTGCTATGCCATGTCATAGCACAGTGGCGAGATAGGCCTAAGGCAATAGGAGTAAAAGGTAACGCGCACATTGGGGTCCCCACTTTTTGGGGACCCATGCTGTGCCATGCCATGCTATAGCACAGTGGCGGGATAGGCCTAGGGCAAGTAACAGTAAAAGGCGACGCGCACAAAGGGGTGCCCACTTTTTTGGGACCCATGCTGTGTCATGCCATGCTATAGCACATTGGCGGGATAGGCCCAAGGGCAATTAACAGTAAAAGCAACGCGCACATGGGGGTCCCCACTTGTTGGGGGCCCATGCCGTGCTATGCCATGCTATAGCACGGTGGCGGGATAGGCATAGGGCAGGTAACAGTACAAGACGACGCGCACATAAGGGTCCCCACTTTTGGGGGGGGGCATGCTGTGTTATGCCATGCTATAGCACAATGGCGGGATTGGCCCAGAGCAAGTCAAGGACGACGCGCATATAGGGGTTTCCACTTTTTTGGGACCCTTGCTATGTTATGGCATGAAATAGCACAGTGGCGAGATAGGCCCAGGGCAAGTAACAGTAGAAGACGACGCGCACATAGGAGAGCCCACTTTTCGGGGACCCATGCTGGGCAATGACATGCTATAGCACGGTGGCGGGATAGCACTGCAGCAGGAGCAGCCAACAAATTGAAGGCGTCACTAGTACAACTGGAAGTACGGAGCTCGGACACGTTCCCGAATACGTGAATGGGCGTGGACCCCAAACAGGCCGCTGTGCAGCGGCGAACACACGCAGCAGGGAGAGGCACAGAGGACGGACGCCAGCGAGAATGCAAACACTGTCAAGAAAACGGTGCTGCTGGCACATAGGCAGACGCGGTGAGACATCTGGTTCCAATGGTTGATAGCACGACTCCAGGAATCATGAGCATGAGCCTATCAGTCAAAATGGATATAGCAAGACGAGACGAGAATGGGGAGACACGAGAATATGAGCACAGTTCTTGTTTGTGCAAGATTGGCAGTTCATACGATGAGCTCTGTCAATGCAGACCACCAGAATACAAGCCCTCGTCCGCATAGCCCTGCCTGCTCGGGAACAGTCCCGAATAAACAAGCCACATCTGAGCATAGCAAATGCAGCCTACGCCTTCAACGCCATCCGCTCACCGTCACTCCTCGACGACGTAGACGCCGGCACGCCCTCTAAGCGCTTGAGCATCATAGAGACGAAGGCCTCCTTGTCCAGAGACTGCTGCGCGATGTGCCTCCGACGGCACTTCTCGTGCACCTGGGCGTTCTGCGATAGCTCATCCGCACCGAACGTCAGCATGAGGAACTTCAGGTCGGAGGGCTGCTTCTGGATCCACTCGTATAGAGCGGTCGCAACAGCCGAGACCTGCTGAGGATCCGGCACTGTGACATTCGTGCGCTGGCGCTTGAATAGTTTCGTCGGGTCATCCTTTGTCTGGCTACAAGGCGTCGGCAGGCATGCAGCGTTCAGCGTGCGCAAGTGCGGCAATAGCTGCTCAGGCTCCTTACGTTCTTGAGCAGGTCTGGCTTCACGACGCTCTCCAAGTGCTTCGCATGCACCGCGTCCACCAGTAGCTACGCCTTAGGTGCGAACGCGGACACATCAGACGAGCCCGGACTCGCAGCCAGCTCATCGAACATGGCAGCGCGCTGTTCCTCGTCCACCTCGCCGCAATTGGAATAGATATCAGAAGAACCGGCCTCAGAGTCGGACTCCGTGTCCATCTCCCGCAGCTGAAGGCCGTACTCGTCGTCGGACTCGCTCTGAGCCGTCCGGCTAGTCTGCTCCTCGGGATCATCGCGCTTCATGCTGACAGGTAGCCAATCCGTGCGACGGATAGAGCCAAAGTGATAGATGTTCTCGGCGCACTTGAAGCGGCTCGTGCCCACGTGCCCGTAGCCCCGTTCAGGTGGGTAGGCGTGGTCGAAATAGAGCGCGCCGACGATGTGGGTGGCCCCCTGCGCTCTGCGAATTGTAATCGCATATCCATAAGTGCAGGGCAAGAAGTCGTCACCGCCGTCGGTGATAGGGTGCACGAGTAGACGCTGCCCAGCGCCCGGCAGCACCACGGTGAAGGTCGTCCTGTCGTCATTCAGCACGGTCTCGATAGAGCCAATGGCACCGTTGACGAAGCCCCGCTCCTTGTCGAGGTTCCTCGTGAGCCGCGCGACGACACCACGAGCGATGAATAGCACGTCCTTGCCAGAGGCAACCTGTGCAGACATCCCAGTTGCGATCGCACGGAGGGGGTCCAAGCTTCGCGTCGCATTGCCGATGCGCCAGCGACCTCGGCGATGCATCGGGGATGCATTGGTACAACAGCGCGAAGCTCAGAACCCCTGCGCCACTCCCGCATCTGGGAAACCCGACACCTTCGGGTCGCCATAGTAACGAGAAGCGTGCTCGGGCTTATTCAAGCTGTTCGCCGAGAGGCACGCTGCGTTGACCGCCTCGGCGCCCTTGTTGGTGACAGTCAGCCACGTAAAGGCCCCACCCATGTCATCGCCAATAGCCTTGCCCTTGGTGACGGCCTGCTCCAGAGTAATGCGGTCCCAGGTGCGGCCAGCGAAGAAGGCCCGGATGACGTTCTTCGGAGGCTGCTTGACGCGCGCCTGCCGCAAGAAGCCCAGAAGACGGTCATCGTTTGTCCGATATATAGTGTGCAGGGTGATGGTAGTCATGATAGTGATGAAGGTGCGCATCGCCACGGGGCTGCCCAGGGGATTCAGCTGCTGGAAATCTGCAGCGAACAAGACAGTCGGCCGCTGCGGCAGCTCCTTGAAGCCGTTATGCAGGCGCACGGCAACAGCATCCTCGATCTGCGAGGCCTCGTCGATGATAAAGAGATCGTAGCTGCGGGGCCGCGAGGGAGGGGCGTAGTCCACCACCGTGTCTGCACTGCGGTAGATGTGCCAGGCAGAGTGTATGGTCTCCACGTTGATGTTCTCGTGCTGCACCTTCGTCTTATAGGTATGCACCAGGGTGCCCGTGGGCCCCAGAATAAGCACACGCAGACCCGCATCAGCAGCCCTGCGAGCCGCCTCGCATATAACCTCGGTCTTGCCACTGCCTGGCTCCCCCTGCACGTAGTAGAATTGCTCGTGGACAACGTTGGCGTCGGCCCTGGACAGCAGACCGTCCACCACGCGCAGCGCCTCCTGCTGGTCGGCAGACCAAGTGAGCACGGGGCGCCGGTGCCCGAAGACGCGATTCCACTCTTCCCTCTATTTGTTATAGAAATGGAACACTCCACCGTTGGACTCTTCCCACTGCTGGCGCAAGGCATGTGGTATGGCAAAAGGACTCTCCCTGCAACATTCAATTTAATTGTAGAAGCAGTGGACGGCGAAGAGCCGAGCACGGAAAGACGTGGCGCGACCGGGAGGAACCCGTATTGCAAGATCCACCTGCACAACGTTCGCGAGGTAGTTGAGTGCCGAGTCCGCGTCCTCGAAAGGCTTGCCGCACGCGCCAACGGTGGCATCTGGGAAGCGTAGCGGGTGGCGCTGGAAGCGCGCGTTCTCGTCACCCTCGATCACATGGCTGGGCCAATAGTGAAAGAGCTCCGACGTGTAGGACGCATGGTCGTTGGTGATGGACTTGACAGGCAAAGCGGACAACCACGGGATGTCCTTAGCATTCGAAGCAAAGCCCACCCACCGGGACGAGTCCATAACCTCCTGCAGGCGAGCCGCATAGGCCACGTCGCCCTCCCCCACCGCGCGAGGCAACTGCTGCTCCAACCGCCGTCGATGCGAGTCCACCCGTCCCGGCGGAGTGCCCGTCGTCCACGCCAGGTGACGCAGGTACTGAAGCGCCCGCAAATAGTACGCGGTGAAGGCAATGACCTCTGTCTCCGACGGCGGCAGAAAGGTCGCAGAGTCCAGGTGCGGGAACATCATGGTGCAGAACTGCCCGATGAAGTTGTCCTGCATCTCGAAGGCATAGCGGACGCCGACGGCGACAAGGCAATCCTGCCCGCGGCCTCTGCGCTTGGTCACAGTCTTGGCGTCCTTCCACGCATAGGTGCGGATGTAGCTCAGGAAGCTGCCGTGGAAGTCGAGCTCCCCAGAGACAACCAGACGTGCGACATAGTGCTCATACAGCCGCTTGGTGTCGTTGTCGCCCTGGTCCCGCCTCCCCGGTATGATAGCGTACGCGTTGACCACGGCAAAAGTCCGATAGATGTGCGCAGCGCCCGCGAAGTCCAGAAACACCTCGGGAAGGCCAGGGGCCAGCTTGCACAGCGTGCGGTAGGTTGTGCGCCACGCCGAGTGGTCATCCCCGCCGCTGCGCGCGGCATCGGGCTGAAAATCCATAGATTGATTGCCCTTGACCACGTAGCCGTTGATGTAGTTCAGGGAACCCTCGCCGTGCTGCACGTCCACGGACCAGCGGAAGACCTCCTCCAGGAAGCGAAAAAACGGCGAGATGTCCCCTGTAACAGTGCGGCCAGATAGAACCTGCCGATGGATCACCCAAGCCGCGATGTGGATGTGCAGCGTCTTGCGTCCCTGACATTCGAGGCGGATGACATAGTCGCGGACCTCGCTGAAGAATTCGTTGGGACGTAGAATCTGCTTCATGGCATCGTACAGCAACTCATAGATGTGCTCGGACAACATGCCCTGGCACGCAGACAGACGATTCTCGGCCTTCCAGTCCGCGAATAGAGGCTGGTGTAGTAGAACCTTCCATTCAGCCGGAGCGATGGTGATGAACAGGTTGGGAAAGGCAAAGCCCCGACTATAGCGAAGCGTGTGCTGCCGCACGACGTCGCACAGAAGGTCCTGCTCGTGGCGCCAATAGCTCTCGGACGTAGAGCTGTTGTCCGCGACGACATCGGGAGTGATGCCCCGGTGCTCTGCGACAGCCAGGCTCGCCGAGATCTTCTGCGCGGTGGCCATGTCGTATAGTAGGAAGGCCAGATCCGGCACAGCCTCCGCGTCGCCAGAGGTGCGGCACCGAGAACGCACCTTGCGCAGGAACGCCTTCTTCATAGACGGGAGCTGCGAGCTCTTCATCAGCTTGCGGTCCCCGGCCCAGCCCCGCACGTCGCTGTCGGAATAGACCTCCCAGGGATAGAGCACGGGGAAGAGCGCAACCTCGATGCCGCGGCTCTGGGTGAGCAGCCGGTAGGTCGCGATGAACATCTCCCGCTCATCCTCCGGGTAGGACAGCATGCGCTTCTGCTGCATCGCGTGCCGACGATAGGTGCGATTGTGCAGCATGAGCCAGTCGTAGGCAGCCCGCGCCCTGGGAGTCATGGCCCCACACGTCTCCAGGTCCTCGCGCTTGTAGTTGACGCGGCACACCTGGGTCTTCTTCCAGTTGTAGGTGGGGCCCCTGGCCGCGGAGCCGCGCTCCTTCTGCTTGGTGACGACGAGCAGGTAGGGCGTGATAGAGGCAGCCTCTTCCTTCGTGATGTCCAGGAGGCTGACTATCCCCTCAGCGCCATGCTCGCGAACGTACTGCTCATAGTCAGCAAACTCCCGCACCAAGACCGACAGTTCCTTCACGTCCATGGCATCTATAGGGCCGTGGCGCATGGCGTCGCGCATGGACGCCAGACGGGTGCTGAAGTCATGTGCAGTAACGAACCGCTGCGCTGCCGGAAGAAAGACGGACCAGTGCTTCCGCTGCGGCACGACATACAGCTGCTCGGTCTTGACGCCCGCCTCGATCTCCGAGGGCAGCGGCCACAGGAGCGCCTCCAACGGCAAGGGGCACTGCGAAAGGTGTCCGCGATGGTCACAAGATCGGCATCGAGGAAGATGGCGAACGCAGTCGCCGCGGACAGTGTTGCCATAGACATACTTCGAACCCGACTGCTGACCGATGAGAACCTGCCAACGATAGCCGCACAGCTCGCAAGCGACCCAGTTCTCGTAGCGGATGAAGAAGCGATAATGCTGAAGCTCCACGGCGCCTCGTGCCCCAGACGGAAGCGCAAAGCGGCGCGGCAATGTGCCGTGGCAGACAGCCGTGAACTCCAAGCGGCGCTCCGCCTCCCAGCAACGGATAGTGGCTGCCCTGTGGAGCGCCTCCTGCAGCATCCAGACCGGCACCGCCTCGCCGTGAACGGACTTGATGATAGCCTGCAGGGCGGCGTCCTCGTCAGTTTTAGCACCCGCGCGGCGAGACCGGTAGGTGCGAGCGCAGTCGACGTACTTGTCCTGAGGCTGCGCAATAATAAACGAATAGGCCCAGACGGACGAGCCAGGACAAAACATCCTACTGGGAATGCGAGAGAGAGTCGGGCCCCACAAAAACGTGCGTGGTAACAATGCAAGACCCTTGGAAGCCGACTGAATAGATCCCAGAAGCGAGAATCGAACCCATGGCACACTGGACAGATCAGAGATCGGCCAAGTCCAAAATGCCCATGGCAACATGCCGACAGCCACGAAATAATGATAGAAAGCCCTGCGGGCCCCCAGTGGTGAACATCGGATTCGAAGTGCTCCCCCCGCCGCCCCCCCCGTCCTGCCACAGTCGCCGCGCAGGGCAGCCGCCGCGATCGGGCGCATAGTGCTCAGACATCCAGCGTCCCAGCACCGCAAGAGAGACACCCCGTTCATAGTGCTCCTGCACGGCCTGCCGCCGCGCCGCAGGCTCCGCATGGCCCTGGACCAGTCCCTGCACCATGGCCACCTGGTCAGCGCCCGGCAGGAATTCATAGGACACCGTGGCGCATCATGATGCGCTGGAGTATGGACAAGTGGGCAGCGGTTAGCTTCTTCTGGAGCCGAATCTCCAACTCGCCAGCAATATGATGCCGACCTTTAGTAGGATGCAGCGTCATGAGCTCCTTGATAATGTCCACGTGCTGCCGCAAGCCCCCGGTGAAGTCGCAAAAGTGCCGCCGCCCAGGCTGCTGTCGCATAGACGCGCCCACCGCCAGACGTCCCTCCGAAATCTCAATCATGATGCGATTAATCACCAGCTGGTGCGCGGGCGATAGTTTCACCCCGAGCTTCTCCGCCAGCTTGCGGGCAATGAGCTTGTGCCCCCACTCGGGGTGCGAGGCCGCGAGCTCCTTGATAGCGTCCACGTGCTCCCGCACATCCCCAGTGAAGTCCTCGAGGTCCGTCTGCTCTGGCATCGCCGCATCCTCAGCCACAAGCTCGATGCCGATCTCGGCCATGACAGAAAGGATTCCCCGCTTCTGGGCATCAGATAGCTCCACCTGAAGCTCCTCCTCAAGCTCGTGGGCGATGCCCTCATAATCCATGGTGGGGTGACGCATCATGAGCTCCTTGATGGTGGCCACGTGGTCGCGCACGTCCACAGCGAAGGCCCCATAGTCCTCGTCCTCCCGCTGCGCGCCAGGTACTGCACGGCCCTCCGAGATCCCCGCCACGATGCGATTGATGACACTGAGGTGGGCCTGCGGTAGCTTCACGCGGAGATGCCGCTGGAGCTCATGGGCAATGCCCTTGTAGCCCATGCCAGGACGAACCACCGCGAGTGCTCTGATAGCGTCAACGTGGTCCCGCATGTCCCCGTTGAACTCCTCCCACTCTGGCACGTCCACCGCCGCGCGGCCCTCGGAGAGCTCCGTCATGATGCGCATAATGACCAGCTGGTGCGGACGCGATAGCTTCACCCCGAGCTTCTCCGCCAGCTTGCGGGCAATGAGCTTGTGCCCCAACTCGGGGTGCGAGGCCACGAGCACCTTGATAGCGTCCACGTGCTCCCGCACATCCCCGGTGAAGTCCTCGAGGTGCGTCTGCTCTGGCATTGCCACATCCTCAGCCGCAAGCTCGATGCCGATCTCGGCCATGACACGAAGGATTCCCCGCTTCTGGGCATCAGATAGCTCCACCTGAAGCTTCTCCTCAAGCTCGTGGGCGATGCCCTCATAGTCCATGGTGGGGTGACGCATCATGAGCTCCTTGATGGTGGCCACGTGGTTGCGCACGTCCACAGCGAAGGCCCCATGCTCCTCGCCCTCCCGCTGCGCGCCGGCTACTGCACGGCCCTCCGAGATCCCCGTCACGATGCGCCTGATGACACTGAGGTGGGCCTGTGATAGCTTCACGCGGAGATGTTGCTGGAGCTCATGGGCAATGCCCTTGTAGCCCATGCCAGGATGAACCACCACGAGTGCTCTGATAGCGTCAACGTGGTCCCGCATGTCCCCGTTGAACTCCTCCCACTCTGGCGCGTCCACCGCCGCGCGGCCCTCGGAGAGCTCCGTCACGATGCGCATAATGACCAGCTGGTGCGGACGCGATAGCTTCACCCCGAGCTTCTCCGCCTTGCGGCCAATGGCCCTGTGCCCCAACTCCGGATGCGAGGCCGCGAGCTCCTTGATAGAGTCCACGTGCTCCCGCGCGCCCCCAGAGAAGAGCTCAGAAGCCTGGCGCCCCGCGCCGGGAGCAGCGGTCTCGGCCTTCTGCAGCCGCAGCGCCGCTTGGTAGTCAGAGTCCTCCAGCCTCGCGCCCAGGAGCTCGCCAAGTCGGGCGCCGACGCGCATGTAGCCCTAATCCGGAAACTCCTCCATGATGTCCCGGACCAGGTCCGCGTGATCGCGCGCGTCGCCCACGCGCGGGAGCGCCGCCGCGGGGCGCTTGCGACCAGACATGGCGAAGCTGCTGGGGAGGCAACGCTCCACCTGGCAGCTGGCGCGAGGGTACGGGCGCGCTGCCTGCTTGGATGCTCAATTGCGGCAGATGAAATATGTTAGAAGGAATGTCAAGCACACTCTGTCTGGATGCTAAGAGAATAGCACATAGAGATGACCGCCCACTGTGTGTGACGTGCAGCTGTGCTGCAATAACACAACACATGGAATGCAGACCCCAACTTTTTTTTGGGATGGCCAACTATCCCAATAGCAGGCATCATAAAGAAAAGTCCCCAATTATAAAGGAAATATTGCTGATGTGATGCAATGACCAAGAAACCAAAGATGAATCACCCCCACGTCCTGATCGTGAATGAACAATAGCACAGAACGTAGAGATGCGCCGCGGACGCTTAACAATAAAAGACGACGCGCACATAGGGGTCCCCACTGTCTGGGGACCCATGATGTGCTATGCAATGCAAGAGCGCAGTGGCGGGATAGGCATAGGGCAAGTAACAATAAAAGACGACGCGCACATTGGGGTCCCCACTTTTTGGGGACCCGCGCTGCGCCATGCAATGCAGAACACTGGTGGGAGAGGCCCAGGGCAAATAACCATAAAAGACGACGCGCAAATATGGGTCCCCACGTTTGGGGGGGCCCATGCTGTGCTATGCCATGCTATAGCACAGTGGCGGGATAGGCCTAGGGCCAAGTAACAGTAAACGAACGCGGAAATAGAGGTCCCGACTTTTTGGGGACCCATGAATAGATATGTCATGCTATACCACACTGGCGGGACAGGCCCAGGGTAATTTACAATGAAAAAAGAACATAGGGGTCCCCAGTTTGGGAACCCATGCTGTGCTGTGCCATGCTGCAGCACAGTGGCGGGATAGGCCCAGGGGAAGTAATAGGAAAGAACGCGCACATGGGGTCCCCACTTTTTGGGGACCCATGCTGTGCTATGACAGCTGTAGCAAAGTCGCGGGATAGGCCTGAGACAAGTAACTGTAAAAGACGGCGCGCACATAGGGGTCCACACTTTTTGGATACCCATGCCTTGCTGTGCCATGCTAGAGCATAGTGGCGGGATAGGCCGAAGGCAAGTAACAGTAAAGGACGATGTGCACATAGGGGTATCCACTTCTTGGGGACCCATGTTGTGCTATGCTATGCTATGGCACAGTGGCGGGATAGGCCTAGGGCAAGTGATAGTAAAAGACGCAGCGCACATAGGGGTCCCCACTGTCTGGGGACCCATGCCGTGCTATGACATGGTATAGCACAGTGGCGGGAAAGGCATAGGGCAAGTAACAATCAAAGACCGCACGCACATAGAGGTCCCCACTTTTTTGGGACCCATGCTGTGCTATGCCATGCTGTAGCACAGTGGCGGGACAGACCAAGGGCAAGTAGCAGTACAAGACGACGCGCACGTAGGGGTCCCCACTCTTTGGGGGCCCATGCTTTGCTGTGCCATGCTATAGCACGGTGGAACCCCACAACCACGCACACCAGAACAATATAGAGCACGAGTCTCGTATCCATTCCTACGCGTGGACCCCGCACAGGCCGCCGCGCGGCGCGGGGAATGCCGCAATGGAGCAGCGGGGAGGAGAATAGAGCGCACTGACGCCAGCGAAAGTGCAACCACTGTTGAGGACAAACGCGGGAGTATAGCAGAAAGACCAAGTGTCACAAATGCCTGCAATCGCGGATAACACGAATGACTAATGCACACATACCACAACAAAACGTGAGAGAGTGCCACATCAAATATGCAAGGTGATGCTCTACAGAACAAACTGCAGACGCGTGGGCATAGAGATGGGCAGGGGAGTGGACGCGCGCGAACAGGCATGATAGCCCTGCGCAGCAGCACACCCACACAGAGGCGCCAACTCTTGCGACACATAGGGGTCGCCACTTTCTGGGACCCCATGCTGTGATGTGCCATCCTGTAGCGCAGTGGCGGGATAGGCCTAGGGCTAGAAGGAGCCAAAGGCAACGCGCACATAGGGTCCCCACTTTTGGGGGGCCCATGCTGTGTTATGTCATGCTATAGCACAGTGGCCGGATAGGCCGAGGGCAAGTATGTGGAGAAGACGACCCACACATGAATAATAGACACAGAGCAGAAAACAATAGAACGTGCGAGAGTGCCACATCAAATATGCAAACGATCGTCTATAGAAACAACTGCACAGGACGAGGATCGGTTATGAGCACGCGATAGCTCCTGCTGAACCAAGAATGAGGCCGAACATCATAGGTTTGATCGCTCCCTCTGCCAGAACATGTGCACCGAACAGCATAATTGACAAAGAGCAGAACAATAAAACGTGCGCGAGTGCCACATCAAATATGCAAAGGATGCTCTATATAACCAACTGCAGAGGACGAGGATCGGTTATGAGCACACGATAGCTCCTGCTGAACAAAGAATGAGGCCGAACATCATAGGTTTGACCGCTCCCTCTGCCAGAACATGTGCACATAACAACATAATAGACACAGAGCAGACACCAATAGAACGTGCGAGGTTCCACATCACATATTCAACGGGTGCTCTATAGAACCAACTGCAGAGGACGAGGATCGGTTATGAGCACAGGATAGCTCCTGAACCAAGAATGAAGCCGAACGTCATAGGTTTGACCGCTCCCTCTGACAGAACGCCTGCACAGAAAAGCACTCACAAGACCCATGCTGTGCTATGGCATGTTTAGCACAGTGGCGGGATAGGCAACCCATGATGTGCTATGCCATGCTATAGCACAGTGGCGGGACAGGCCAAGGGCAAGTATCAGTAAAAGACAACACATAGGGGTCCCCACTTTTTGGGGACCTATGCGGCGCTGTTTCATTTAGGGGGACCCTATTTTGTGTTTAATTTTTTATCCCAGGCCTATCCCGCCACCGGACTATAGCATGGCATAGCACATCATGGGTCCCCAAAAGTAGGCTCCTCCCGCCGGACCCGACCCGTCCCGTCCGTTGGGGTCCGCCTCCCCGACTCTTCCCGCCCGTTAGAGCACTCGCGTGCCAACTGGATCATCAGTAGTCGCCGTCGTCGTCGTCGTCGTCGTCGACGTTGTATTCGATGTGGTTAGAACGAGGGGAGAGATGATCTTTATGGTGGGGTGGCTTGCGGGTGGGAGTGACGGCCACCGCAGGTGGGTTCGCGGTCAGGGTGCACTCGTTGCCACGCCTAGTAGACCCTAAACCCTAAACCCTATTTGCAAATTTTGGGTCCGGGCCCCTTCAAAGGTCCTCAGGACTGAAGACTGAGGCTCCAAGGATTAGGCAAAAGGGCCTGAGGACGCGACTACGTGCCCAGAGGCACGGTGGCAGATCTTATTTGAGTTGCCTGGACAGACGAGCTAGGAACAAGGGACTTCACAATGCCGCTCACAAAACTCTAAAACGTAAAACATTGATCGCCTGCCTCCTCCTCAGTTTCTCACCTGGGAACCTCCTCCTCCTCCTCCTTCCCTTGGACGTCCTCCTCCTGCTTCTCCTCCTCCCCGATGCCAGTCGTTCTTTGCCCATTCGCGGGGTGCACGTCTGGGGCGCGGCTGTGCAGTGTTGTTGCGGAGCGCGACGGGGGGCTCTTCGAGGCTTCTTGTGTGCCTCTTGGGGACAATGTTGAAGCCCCTTTGACGTCCTTGGATCTTTCGGACGCGCTTGCGCCGTCTGGCCCTTGCGGAGACTGTATTGGAGGCCTTTCGGAATCGCCTTGATGCTCTGTTGGGGCCGTCTTGGGCCACATCCACCGACCCCGAACCTCAGGACAGTAGAACAATAATTCATTGACCCAGACTGGTGATATTTTGAACTGGACCTCCAACCTTGGACCGTGATCTTGGAACATTGAACCTTGACCTTGAAGCCTCAAGGTCCCCTTGCTGCCGCGATTCGCCTCGTAGACCGCTCGCCAGCCGAGTCTCCGTACTTCATCTCCTTCTCGCTCGCCAGTCATCAAGTCCATGCGCGAGACTATGGCTTCCAACCAGCCTCGGCCAAACGGAATTGATTCACTGAAGTCCTCAAACTCGGCTTGCATCTTCCAATCGAACTGCTTCAATAGCTTCTCGGCCCCTCTCCGTGCAACAACGTCGGTATTCTGGTCCCAACGTTGGACAACTCGCTTCCACTGGCGATTGCGACTCCAGCCGGGCCGCGCTGGGGGATCAGAGTAATCGCCTCGGCCGGAGCCCCCAGCGCTCTAGTCGCCGATCTTCTACCACGGCTCACTCCAATTGCCATTATCAGCCTGCCACTCCGTGGACCACCACTCCCTCCAGTCACCGGTCCGCCACGTCTTGTGCTCCTCGGACCCGTCCCCGCTCTAGCCAAAATGGCACTACCTCAAGGGGCCCATCTCCTCCCAAGGATCTGGGGGTACCCCGGCTGCCTGCGGAGACGCTGACGGCGGAGGGGCCGTAACTATCCCACTCGTGGTCGCGACGACCACCTGCTTTAGAAGCAGTCGACGTCCCTCGGCCTGCTCGACCGTGATGGGGGAGGATGACGCACTGCTGCTGCTGCCGCGGCCTGCCGCGACCACAGTCTTGTCGGAGGGCGGGGCCATGACTGCTAAAATGTCTGCGCCACCGTCCAAGTTCTTATCGTCCGTGCTGCTATCAGCGTCGGGTTTGCCCTCGCCCGACATTGCCGTAGATCGTCCGCTCGCTCGGGGTAGGGCCTCCGATGTGTGCTCCGAACTCTCGAGATTACGATACGGCACCGCTTAGCAACACCCCATGGCGACCAGGCCGACAACCTCACCACGAGGCTCCGCTACCAACTGTGGCAGCACGACCGATAAGAATGAGCAATTTCTATCTTGAGCCACAATGA